CCCCCCAACGCGCGCCCGGCGGAGCGCCGCGCAGACCTCCGCGCTCCTTCCACGGTGGCGGCTACACGCTGTCGAAGCGCGAAGGGCCAGCCCAGGCTTCCCGCAGGCTTGGGTGATTTCACCCCCGCGGTCCTTGCTTGTACCGAGCGGTTGGTTTTCAGATGCCTTTTAAGACAAAACCAACAGCCTTTACGCGGAGTGGAAAGCGAGTGGCGGGTGGGAAGCAAAGCAAAAGCAAGCCGGCTTCAAACTCTGCCCATTCTCACAGCCTCCGGAGCTGGATGCACGCAGAGGCGTCATCTCGGCACCCCGCGCTTCCCAAGGGCTGAAGGTGGGCTCTGCAACCCGTCCAGCAAGTGCGTTTAAATGAGTTACGGTGCGCTCGAATCGGTGTCCAATAAAAAAGAGGGGGAGAGAGGTTTCTCCCCCCTCCCCTTACATTAAGTGAGTTACAACCGCAACTTTTCCCTTGTCGTTGATAGGATTCCTTGACCAAATAAAGAAATATTTTCTACAAGCGGAGCGGGGAAGGGGGAACGAAACCGCTTCGCACCGAGCGGCTTGCGGCCTCAAAGCGTCCGCGCTCCGGCGGCGCAAAACCCGCCGGGGTAGGTCCGACGTTACTTCGGACGTGTCGCCGCGCTAATTTGTAGGATAATTTCTTATCGCGGGGGGGCGCTGGCTTGTGACGGGGGGAAGGGGGTTTAGGGTTTGCCGAGGGGACGAGAAAGGACGGCGAGAGGCGCTTCAAAGGCGCAGGCGGATACCCCAGCTCTGAGCTCTCTCCCCCGTCTCGATCCAAGGCGGTTTCGCAGTGGAATAAACATCTCTGATCTAAGACAGCTGCCGGGAATCAAAGGCCCCCCCAACCAGCGCTGAACCGGCCGGAGATGCTGCTGAAAAATGCCCGCTCCTGACAAGCGAAGGGAAGGGTGTGCGAAGGCGGCTCTCCCCGCAGCGCCTTCAGGCTGTGAAAGCAGCAACAATTTGCCCATTATTCATCTGATTTGTTTTGTAACACTTCTGACACCTAATCTTATCAGCTAATACCCAAGATTTAGTTACCCGAGACGATTTTTTTTTCCACACTAGCAGCAAAATTATTTGACTCCCTGCAGATGTTTACTTTTGTCAGTCTTAAAAAAAAAAAAAGAAAAAAAAAGAAAAAAAAAGAAAAAAAGAAAAAAGGAGGGGGAGAGAAAAAGACAATGGGGAGGGGGAAAGCTTATGCGTAAAGGAAAGATCCAGACTTTCCAAGGCTGGTAGAAACAAGCACTGAGGAAATACCAAGTTAACTAAAAAAAAAAAAAAAGGTTCTGAATATTGACATATTGACAGAGAGGGTTTGCTAGGGAAGAGACCAGAAACCAAATGAACACATATGTAGTCCATGCAGACTTGCCTGTAAAATAACGATTTATTTTAATACTTAAAAAACACACACAATCCAGTGATAAATGTCAATTACCAATAATCAGCATAAAGTGCCAAACAGCCATACAACTTTTTTTTTTTTAATAAACAAAACTTATTGGAATGTCTCTTAATTTGAATACACTGTTCAGAAAGCCAGCATTTAAAAAAATATGCTCTCAGGTTGAGATTTTTTCTTTCTCATCAGGACACACGAAGACTTTAAAGTACCACTAAAACCACGTTGTGCATACCGTCAGTTTGACGTATTGCCATCTTTCTTTCCTCTGGGTTTTTTTAAATAAGTCCACAAGTTACAAACCTCCTCACAGCGCACTAGACCACAAGGCAAAAGAAAAGGTCTCCATGTCCCATGAACACTGATTAGTCCCAAACACCGGGGACCCGCAGGTCTAAGAGCTGGATGCGTTTTCTAGCGCATGATAGGACTCCTCACTTGAGACATTTAGGTCATTTCCAAACATTATTTTTCTTCTCCTTTTAAGAAAACAAACTAGCAAATGAGATTTGCAAGTTGCCCTTCTCCTTGTCCTAATGGTGCTGTGATGAGAAACCACCATTTCAGTTCTTAATCGTCTTCCGGAATACTCTGTATTTCCTGAAGTGTAAAAATAAGAAGCTTTATACAGTCAAAAAAAAGTATAAAATAAGAGGTTGTTTTTTTTTTTTAAGTAATACTTTTGGAAGCTACGATTTGGGGTTTTTTTTGTTGGGATTGGGGGGGGGCTTGTGGGTTTTTCTTTGGTTTTAAAGAGATTCCTGTCCAACACGTGAGCACCACCTTTTGGCATAAAGTTTATCAAAGCCACACAAGTCAGCTAGCACTCTCTGCATCATTCATTTATATTTTAAATGCAAAATAATCTTTTCACCCACGACTTAGGAAGTTAGTTGCTGGGGGGAGGGGGGGGTAGATTTTGCTCTTTTTAAAGTACAAACAAAAACAAAACACAAAGTTCAGTGCTCCCATCCTGAAAGTTTTGTTTCTGCTCTGGTTTTGGTGTAAAGTCTGAAGGGGAGGAAAAGTTCATAGAAGTTGGAGATTCAGCACTTAAGTTTGGCAGGTTTCAGTTCCTTTACTTGCGTGTGCAGTGTCTTGTGGACAGCTAGCGTTCTGGACTGGCAAAATCCTTTCCCGCATTCTTGACACTTAAAAGGCTTTTCTTTAGAATGAATATATCTAGGGAGAGAAAAACAATCGAGACGTCAGAAATAACCGGCCTGAACTCAGCAGTGATCTACCTGATGGAGAACACGCTGGCGCTTTTTACACCTACTGCTGAGACCAAGAGTGCTGGAGTGCAGCACTCGGGCGACGATTCGTATGTGTGTGTGCAAGAAAAGAGGGGGGTGTCAGAGGCTTACAAGGGTGACTTTCTTAGGATAAAAAGCTTCTCTATAACTTTGAGGTCACCAGGCTGTGTGTCGTCATGACACTTCTGAATGATCACAAAGGCAGAGGACACAAGATGATGCAAACAGAGGGTGAAAACGTCCGTGGAAGCTAAGAAGGAGGCTGTGCAAGTCATTTTTGCAGGGTGAGTGAGTACAACAAAAGGCCTGTCGTCTGGAGTGAGTTATCTGGGCTTCTCCACCAGCAGTGGGCAAAGGAAAACCTAGAGGGAACATTGCCGGCTGGCCAGGGACATGACTTTTCTTACAAGCACCTTCATGAGTGTAAGTAGGTAACCAGGAGAGTACGGATACACAGGGAAAAAAGGACAGGAGAAGAATAATCGTTACCTGTGATCCCTCAGGTGATCCTGTCTTCTGAAGGCCTTGTGGCAAATGTCACATGTGTAGGGCCGTTCATCGGTGTGGGTTCTTTCATGGATCAAAAGGTTGTAGGACTTGGTGAAATGCCTGCCACAAAATTTACACACGAACTCCTTCTTGGTTTTGGATGGTAACCTTCCCCGTGTGGGTTTCTTCTCTGGAGAGAGTTTAGTCACCTCAAGCAAAGACCCCAGCCCTGGGGTGGAGCCCTGACTGTCTGCCTGTCCCAGTTTAGAATGGTCCTCTTGTGTGGCAGCCACTGCTAAGTTGGCAAAGTCAAAGCGGGGTTTGGCTTTGAGGGTCACATTGGTGG